TCAACTTCATGACTATGGCTTAACATTTGATCAAATTCCAATTCTTTGTGATAACACTAGTGCAATATGTATGTCTAAAAATCCTGTTTATCACAGTAGAACAAAACATATTGAAGTACTTCAAAACACCACATTATTCGAGACATAATACAAGCTGGTCATATAGAGTTAAATTTTATATCAACTGAATTCCAAATAGCAGACATATTTACCAAAGCACTCTCCTCTGATCGATTCATGCGCCTGTGTAATGAGCTTGGCCTGCAGTCACTGCATTCAATCCAGAAGATTCTGTAAACCAGGTGCTGCTCTTCCTTTACTCATTTATACTAGAATCAATAAATGTTTCTTGGTTAATTAATCTCTATTTCCAATAAGTGCTTATTCATGCATGTGATGGTTTAGTTATCTATGAACTGTGTTTTCCAATAAACTACTGCGAGACCCTTACTATTCTGCCTCTCCTATAAATTCTCCTTCCTTGATCTCCTCACTCTCCTCACTCTCCTCAATCTTCTCGTCTCTGTCTATCCAATCATGATTGATCTCTTTACATCTTCCAACATTCCTGGAGCCATTGTGACTTATGTTGGTAGAACATTCAATGAGCCTATGGATTTCAATCTTCACCGCTTCAAGGAATTCTTTGCATCTCGTCGATTATCTGATCCCATTACCCTAGATCTATTTGAATTCAAATCCTATGGAGTTGACATTACTCCCTACATCAGAAACCTAGGGTGGGAATTTCTTATGCACTATCCTCCCCTAGCAGCCTGTCCCCTTCCAGTTCGCATGTTCTATGCTAACCTGGACTGCCAGGGGATCACTCTCGAAAGCTCTCCACTCTAGTGAATGGATATTTTATCTCACTCACTGCTAAAGCCATAGGATCACTGCAAAATTTCCCTACTAGAGGGCCTCTTCCTCTGGCCCATGAGGATGAGTTCCTCTTCTATGATTTTGATCATGTGATCGAATACTCTCGCATTGCTCAGTGTCCTGTTGCTGCTCATGAAACTGTCACCACTGCTGATCTAAATCCTCCTCTGCGCACCCTTCACTACCTCATGACACATCTCTTCCTTTCTCGCTCAAACTGCCACCGTATTGTTACCAAAATAGATCTCTGGATCTTATCCAATGCTCTCACAGGTCACAAAATTGACTATTGTCAGCTGCTATTCGGGTCAATTTTTCGAAGTGCCGAGGCTCATCTAGGAGGTCGTCTTCCCTATCGTGGACTTATCTCTCTTCCGATATCAAACCTTGGAATATCCCTCGATGGCTACTCCTCTATTGAAACCTCAGTGTCAATTCCAGCTATTGCTATCCTTAACTATATCAGGGTAGATCCTCTAACTTCGAAAGGGGGAGATGCTCTTGACCCCGCAACTAAAAGGCCTAAACCCTTTTCCAAGATGTGCTCAAAAACTCAGAAACTTGGGGAGTCTTCCTCTTCTGTCTGCAAAAATTTAATCATTGATTTTGAGGAAGAGGAAGCAAAACTGGAACCTGAATCTATTTCTGAGAAAGACATCAGGCTATTTGCTGAAGACCTTGAAAGAGAATTGATGGATGGAGAAGGTGTACCTGCAACTCAGGGGGAGCATGCTGAAACTCTGAAGGAGACAACTGATTATCAGGAAGATGAAACTCAGGGGGAGCCAACAAAGGAATAATCCAGAACATGAATCTCTAGGAAAATCCTAGACTAATAAAGAGAATCTTGAAACCATAAACTTTGTGATGTGTTGAAGACCATAATGGTCTAGTATGTTTTTGTTTGAAAGACCATAATGGTCTAGTTTGCGTTTGCTGTTAAATCTAATAATCTGATCATGGATGTGTTTTCTATCTATTCCAGTGTTATGCTCAAGCTGTCCATCTCTTGTTCACTACTCGTTCCATAGAAGAAATTTTACATAATTAGGATGCTTCGATAATGCTTTAATGACTGCAGGGATCAAGGCTTGAACGCAGGGGGAGATTGTTGGGCCTGGCCTGAGTCTCCACCGCTAGCCCAATTGAGCCCACTCAAACAAAAGGCCCAAACGATGTCGTCAAAGACAACTGATGGCGTCTTCACCTTCATCCCTTCTTTATCATCAATACAACACAGAAAAGGCTCTCTCTCTCTCTCTCGTTCTTCCATGCTTTGGTGTCCTCCCCAAATCTTGACTCAAACGGTAACTTCATTGAAGAAGGAAGAGACGATCAATGAAGGATGGCGATCTATTTAAAGGCCGCTCTAGGAAGAAGAAAGGTGACGGTTTCTAGTTCTCAGTAAGAGCAAGTTTGCTCTTTGGGAGTCTAGGTCTGGGTCGGTTTAAGTGTCTGGAAAGTTTGAGTTGGGGCCGTCTGCCAGGGACTCAAGCTTGTCTGGGCATAGGGTTTAGTCTTGCCTGTTTGTTCTGCTTCTCCCTTTCGAAATTGAATTAATTCAATTCTGTGTTCTTCTTCCTCGATTGGATTCTGGTTAGGTCATTTTGTAATCTCTTTTGATCCAATCGAAATTGACTTTGATTTAACTTAATTGCGGTGTGAATCATTTATGCATACAACCAAGGGAATGAAATTAGATACATAGTGGAACCACAAGAAGGTGGTCAACGGGTTGTTCTGGTTGACCTACCCATCTGCTCGTCTCGAAGCTGATCGTCCACGAGTGGAGGTCCCGTGCTCGCTGCCACCATCTCTCATTTCGAATCTTCTGGGTCTTCAACGTCATCGTTAGCTGCTCTGTTGGCATGCTCCAGGATTCTCTACTTCGCCGCCGCCGACCATACCTCCTTAATTGCAGACAACATCGTTTCAATCATCGCTTTAGTTGTCTTTATTGCTCTCCTCGCCGTTGTGGTGCGAGGTTGGACTAGGGTCGGAGTTGAATTAGGAATCAATTTGGCGGAGCCCATTTTGGAAGGAGGAGGATAAAATGGGGAATTGTTACACCCGAAGAGAAATGAATGAAGACTAGTTACTACTTACACGCGTTGCTCTCATGCCATCGTGCCATTCGCCGGAGTGTGTAGAGACTTCTCGTCGAAGATGAGTTGGAGCGGGTTGTTTCATTTGGAAGGGTGCTTTTCTGGGAATACGTAGGGAGCTACGTTTTTTTTCTTTTCCGTGAAAAATAATATATTGGAGAAGGTTTAATGACGTTAGGGGTAAAAATGATATTTTCAATGGCCGAACCATGGTTGAACTGTGTCTAACAGAATTAGGACAGGATTTATAACAGAATTAGGACGGGATTTTAGGCTAGTGGTGTTACCGCTAGGGCAATCCCTTGTTCGTTCCTACTGTCACAACTTTATAAAAACACAACAGCGTCACAACACGAAAAATACTAGACTAAATAGGGACTAAGACTATCTTCAACCATGGAGAGTAAATATACACCAATATGACTAAAAAATACACTTTTACACTCCAAACTCACATTTCTACTCCAACCATACCACATCTCAAATTTAGCCCCCACTTTTTTTTTGGTTTACTATAAATTGTACTTAAATGCATCCTAATTTATTTTCATCACTTTAATTTTTCAAAATTGCTCATTATTAATTGAAAAAAACTTCTCAATGTATTTTTATATTCAAACATAATTTTTTCACGAAAACTAATGAAAAATATTGAACATATAAAAAATTCTAACCATTTTATAACAGTTGAAATATGATCGTTATTTTTATGACCATTTCTTTGACCGTACACTATTTCCTAAACTAAAAATATAAAACAAATAAAAACAAACCCTACACAAAAGAAAAAAGAAAAAGTAAAAGAAAAAGAAAAAAGGAACGAAAAGACACGCCGCACGGGGGAACTTTTGTCGTGTGGCCCATGCCTGCTCCGTGTGGTTGTCCCTCGTCCTACAACAGTGCAAAAATGCGCTTTTGTCCCAAATGCAGTGTGAAAATAGTCAAAATACTTTAAAATTCACTGCAGCTCAAATTTGTCCCCAAAATTTTGCATGGTTGGTGGAGAATGAAAGTGTAAAAATAAACTTGTAGACATTTGCTCCCCATGGTTGGAGATAGACTAAATGAAGGATTTTGGGTCTTTTCTACCGTTATACAACTAAAAGTGCGTAGTTGTGTACTCTTGAGCAGGGCAAAAGAAGGGTGAGAAGAATGGTAAAAAGTGGTAGGGATGTAGGCGCCAAATGAATATTCTGGAATGGAATACGAGGTGCTACGCCCTACAATAATGATTCGATGCTTGATTATATTGGTAAGTTTAATAAATGTATAAAGTGATGGTATGTGATATTTTGCAATCAAAGTGTGTAAGTGTAATTCTTTGGCTATATTTGACAGGATTTTGTCTATAAGGTGGAGGATAACTATTGTTTATGGGAAAATGTTGTGACCATCTGAGTTCTTTTGTAGTCGCAAGAACAACCGCAATTAATGGTTAGTATATAGGCATGGGAAGAAGCAACCAGTACAAGTTGTAAACACTACAGAAAAACTTATATTTAGTTATGGTATTTTGTTCACGGGAAATTTTCCGTTGTTAAGAAGTATATCAATAGTCACAGGGAAAATTTATGTGATTAATGATATCATTCTTGTCACAGAAATTTATCTTTCTACTTTTTAGTAATTATTTCCCATGACTAACACGGTTAACTTGCTGTGAACATTAAATAAAAATAAAAATTATTATTTTAGCTTTCTGAAAACTTTCCCCGACATTTTAGGAGGTAAAATCATCCCACCCACCTTTGGGCGTCTTAAATTTTATTCTCCCGTGCGAGTGAAAACTTGATTCGGGTCTAAATTTACACTATTTATTCCCATTTCTCTTTGGCATTTGTGGCATTTGAGCTCCAAAAAAGGGTGGTTTTACTATAGGCTTGTTGTGTTTCAATGTGTTTGAGAGTCTAACAAGCGGAACCAACCCCGGAGTTGAAAGTTGGAAAAAAGGCGCAAGGACCGGGCAAAGAATAGGAAGCAGTCGCAGTTCACGGTCCAAGTTGTGAGTTCACGATGGCCACCGTCACGATCGGCGTAGATACCTTCGAGGCCGGCGCTTCAATCCTCCATCCCAAGAATTTACACGCTGTTAACTTCACCGAGCTGCTCAAGTTGAATCGGAAGCTGCCTTCCAGTTCCGATGACTCCATGTCGCTAGGGATTTGGGACGGCGGCAAGTTCGTGCTCAAGACTGTGACCGTCGATTCCGAGTACCCGTTCGTTCAGAAGATTGTGTCATGGGCTAACTCGCAATACATCTTCCTGCGATACGGGTTCTCGCTTCTGAAGATGGACAGCTTCGTCGAGGTACAAAATTCATTGCTTGCTTCAGTAACATTCGCATTTCGAATTCGAGAATTCTGATTGAGAATGTCAAATTTTACAGTTTATGCGTTTTGAATTTTTTTGATTGCAGACTACTGTAGACAAGTTCTTGAAGTACTACGGTGGCGTTGAACGGATCCCCCCATTCCATCTCGGTACTAATCTAACTATGGAGATCACAACTCGCATGGCACAAACCGACGTGCCTCCCGCCATCCGGCCACATCCTCAGGCCGCGCCCAGCATCGTTTCTCCTCTGTCTGTCCGTATCAATCCAGTCGGGTAGTAGTTTGCACGTGTTGGGACTGGGAGAAGTTGGAGAAGAATGGCAAAAGAGAATAGGCAAAAGATGGTAGGGAACAATTTGTAGATAATTATTCATTTTGGTTATTTGGTTATATGGTATTCTGATTGAGAATGTCGAATTTTACATTTTATGCGTTTTGAATTTTTTTGATTGCAGACTACTGTAGACAAGTTCTTGAAGTACTACGAGCGTACTGAAGAGAGGCCGATTTTTGCAAGTGTGGAAGAAACACCAAAAACCTAAAAACACACAAAAAAAACCTTGTAATGTAACAACATAAATCTCATGAAACATATCAGAAACACCAGAAAACACACCACAAATGTTTCTAAAGCACACAAGAAACCTCATAATCCTTACTACAAATCGCCTAAAACATACTAGAAACACCACAAAGCAAACCACAACTATTTCTAAAACACACCAATAATCTCCTAATGCAAACCACCAATGCGATATAACTAACCACAAAAAAACATACTAGAAACCTCCTAAAACAAACCACAAGTCTCCTAAAACAAACAAGAAATTTCACAAAGCAAACCATAAATATTTTGAAAGCACACCAGAAACACCCTAATGCAAACCACAAACACGGAAAAGCAAACCACAAAAAAAAACAAACCAGACACCTTCTAATGCAAACCACAAATATATTAAAATAAACCAGAAACCTCACAATGCAAACCACAAAATTTTTGAAAGAAAATCATAAACGTCCTAATGTAGACCACAAATATATTAAAACAAACCAGAAACCCCTCAATGCAAACCACAAATTTTTTGAAAGCAAACCAGAAACTTCTCAATGCAAATCACAAACACGATAAAGCAAACCAGAAACTTCTTAATGCAAACCCCAAACACGATAAAGCAAACCACAAAATGCATACAAAAATATGAGAAACCAAACCATAAATCTCACAACGCAGACCATAACATCGGTGGTCGTTGGCCGTTGACCGGTCAACGAAATTCGTTGACCAACTCCGATGACCGTCAGTGACCGGATTCCGGCGCCGATAAGCATATTTCGGCCCCAGTGACTAGATTCCGATGCCGGTGAGCATATTCCGACGCCGGTAAGTATATTCCGGCGACGGTGAACATATTCCGATGACAAAATAGCTTATTCCGGGGACAAAAAAGCATATTCCGGTGACCGCGCGACCAGATTCCAACGACCGGTGGCCGAATTCCGGCGACCAAAAAATTGGGTAGAAAATAAAAAAAAATATTTTTTTTATTTTTTATTTTTTATTATTATTTAAACATATTTTCATAATGACAATTATACCCCTGCTTTGATTTTACACTAGGTCAACTCATCTAATAAAAAGTCATCACAATCCTAGATTCCTATTGGTTGGAGGCTAGTGTTGTTACAATAACAACACAAGGGGTGTTGTCACACTATCTTGTCCCGAAGAGACAAGCTAGTCATAGCCATACCACTACTGACACAACATTTATGGAAGCAACCGGAGTGACTCTTGAGGAAAGGATTTTCTCACCGCGCTCCGCAGAGCATTTAATGCGTCATACTACTGGCCATTGGCTATAAATATGAGATCACCACACTATTTATGGTAACCAAGATCTACCCAAAAGAATATCTCTACTTTCCCTCTTCAAGCCACTAACTTGATCGTCAGAGAGTGTTTGAGGCCCCACCTTCGGTCCTTATATGCAGGCTTCTCGTGGAACGTACCACATCTGGCAAGACATTCGTTGATAACACCAAAATTGGTGTTATTTACCCTTCATATTGAGATTTGTTTTGTGCCAATTCATGTGCATAAATGATTAAACATCATCAATTGAATCTCCATTATGTTCATATTTGAATTCGATGTTATTTTAGTGTGTGTTAGACGATATATGCGAATTAGGTACAAAACAAAGTCAAAAGTGTAGTAAGAGGGAAGAAGACAGGATATTGTGGCCTAGAAGTGAAGATCACTGTCAGATCCAGGACCGCAAACTCAAGCTGAAGATCTATCACAGACTGGAAGCCCAAGATCGCGACCACGAATTGGAGGGCTCGGGGCGCAAACTTCCCGAGTAAGGAGCTGAGGAGAAACAGAGAGTTTTCCCAGTCAAATCCCGGCCACACTGATTTTCGACAGCGAGGAAGATCGCGGATCGTGACTGTGAAGTCAACCCGTGATCTCCTCAATCCCTAAGCCCAGAACAAGTGCGTTTCAAGATCGCGGCCTCACCTTTGAAGATCCAGCCCATGATTTTTGCCCTTCTCGCCGCGAACTTGTCCCATTTCCCTCATTGAGCATGAGTTGATTTTGACAGAAGAATGTTTAGTTTTAGAGAGAGAGAAAAGAGAGAAGCTGAAGGAAGGAGAAGAGGAGGAGAAGGAGAAGGATCTAGAAGAGACGAGGCATCTTCCTCAACCTCAAGTCTTCTTCAATTTCTTCTATGTATCTTCTTCCCTCCTTTATGGAGTACTCCTTTAAGGTACTAGTGGTTCTAAACCCCAAACTCTAGTTTTAGGGTTTACTATGTATGTATGTATGCACAAATATTTTAGGGTTTGAATGAATGAATGTGTTTATCTAGTTGATTCTATTGATATTCTATCATTGATTGTGTTTGGGTAAGTCGCCCTAATATTATCTATTAGCCTACTTTTGCTTCTACGTTGGGTGGGGAGTTCTAGGGTTAGACGGGTATGCGCCATCAAGCAGATCGAGGTAGATGTATGAATATGGACTTATGGTGGTCGAGGCGATCGAACCGTTGCTATAAGCGGCCTTTCTAGATATAACCCATGATAAAACCTCGGTGTGGACGGTGGATAGTATCCATTGAAATGAGCTACGAGCTTAATGCCCCAGATACGATAGCCTAGATCGAGGTGACGTTATATGGATCTAGGGGAGGCGTACTCGGTGGTGTGTGGATAGCCACAAAAGCCCACCGACACGAGCTCACTAAGCACATTTGATGACCCTAAGTATCTAGACATACATAGTAGCCTCTAGGCTAGGGTGAGAGATAGTTCCCCGAAGTACTTGCTTTTATCTTTATTTAATCTCTAAACTAGTAATTCACTCAAATCCTCCACTCAAACCTCCAAAATCGATTAATTAATTAACAACTAGGTGGGAAGTAAGCTGGGGTATCAGGACCCGAGTAAAATACAACCTTGATTACCACTATACGACAATGTCATCTTAGGTTAAACTTGGCTTAGGATGGGGTAGTTCTTGACACGTCTAACCATTGACAATAATTTGCACGGTCTCAAGTGATCAAGCTTTTTGGCGCAGTTGCAGGGGAACCTTGATAACTAGTACAAAACCATTAAGTTGTTAGTTATTTTTTACTTTGTTTTGTTTGTTTGTCTTATTATTTTTCTGTTGTTTTGTTTTGTGTTTTTGTTATTTTCGTATTTGTTTCGTTGTTTGTTTTATTTTCCAAGTTCGTACGTCACGAGTTGTTGAGGTTGTGTTTTGTAGCACCTTTGTACGCGAAGAAGGGATTCGTTGGAGATATTAAATCTTGATACATAAATCGAGAGAACCCTTCGCAATCAGAGAAGAGTTACAAGACCTCAAACTCCACCAATGGCAGATCAACAAGCTCAAGCTCCACTGAGGCCAAGAATAATGGGTTCTTACTTTAGGCCAAGTGTGGATAATGTGAAATCACTTATTCTTCATCCAGCGTTGGCCCACAACGATTATGAGATAAAGCCAGGCACGATTTCAATGCTTCGAAGTGTGGTTCAATTTCAATCCTCCATTAAGCTTTCCTTCGATTGAATTGAACCTCACTTTGAAGATGCGCATATAAAATCCAGAACAAGCACCAGGTAAATATTTTCGCGAATAGAGAGCAACTTGAGCCATTCCATCTTCTAAACTTTAGAGCGGATTGCTTCCTCAATGCCAAGTTGTGCGAGGAGTATCTAGTTGAGACATGTACTCTCGCCTAATGATAATCCTTGTAGCCACATAAGTTAGATCTTGAATTGCTCAGGCATATATTCCAAAAAGTGATGAGTGATGTACTCTACAACGCCTTCTATATTGACTTGATTTTCTCGATGTAGGTCTCTTGATACATCGGAATAGATGACGGTGGATGTGGATCCTTACAACTACTTCTTTGTATTTGGATTTCCTTGTCTTTGTCCGGTGGCTCAATTGAGGATGAGAAGTAGGAGAAGAAGAACTCCCATCTCGAGCCATCTCACTAGTCTTGTACTTTATCCTTCAAAACAAGTAGTAAATAATGTGCAAACCATCAATCTAAACATCATATATATATATATAGTACTTATCTAGTGATTATCACAAATTTTCTAAGTCCCCCCCCCCCCCCCCCACCCCCACACTTAGTGTAACTAAATCTTGGTCAAGGAGGTGAACTCAGATGAAGAGATAATTCCAAGAATATGAGCATTGGAGTATCCCAAAACAATGTAGAATTAACTAGCACAAGACTCCCTATGTCATGAAGTTGATGCTCAATCTATAGGATTGAAAAAGAATGAACTCTATGTAATTGGGGAATTTCTACGAACACTTGGTGTGCGGTTTTTGAAAATGTAGTACGTGCATGAGAATACACCACCAATGTCTCAAAGATCACATAACAAGTCCATTAAAGAGAAGAAAAGCAATCCTATGCCACAATGATGTCATTCCAAGGAGAAAATTGGCATTCAAGATCTTAAGGATACAACACATGATGGGCAAGATAACGTAGTTAAAATGTGGAAACATGGGGAAATGTACCTTATCTTGCTAGGGGACATGTTGGGATTCCAAAAGCAATTTATAATCCCTCACAAAAGATGTTGGAAATGTAACTAGAGAGGGTAAGCTCAAAAGACTAAGAAGAGCGGAGAGACATGGCATGTAGATCTAGAAAGATGGGGTATAATGAACACACAAGGATCTAATGAGATATGTCTTCATTTAAATAAGGACGGTCAAGATCGCAGGTTGAGCCACCAAGATCGCAACCACGATCTTTAGGCTACCAACTGCGATCTTTGCCCTGTTTAGGACAATACACGTTCTCTTCTTTTCTAAGCTCAATCATTCATCTAAATCATTTAAAAATCCAAAGGCAAGGGCTGAGTTGTATCAATCATTCTTAATGCATCTCTAATCTACTACTTAAGCAATTATTCACAAAGAAAAAGGGAAAAGATACGCAAACCGAGTGGTTGGGTTTCCTCCCAACAAGCGTGTCTTTAAGAGTCTTTTCGCCAGGCTTGACTCATTGAGATAAAAAATCAAGATCTCCATCCTTCAGTGATGTTTCTTCATAGAAATCATATTTATGGTGAAGTCCCAGGTGAAGACCATAGAGCCTCTCTGATGCCTCATCCGGTGCTTGATAAATGAGAGATCCATTCTAATATTGATGTGGAGGATGGTGAGGGTCAAGTTTCCTTGTAGAAATATCATTATCCGTGAATAGCTTATAGCATTCCCGAATTCTTCATCTTTAGGAATAGGAGCTTAGTTACCCAAAACCATCCATATTCCTTTCTTGGGATCTCTCTTCTTGAAGATGAATCGTTGAAGTTTCCTTCCATGACCATCGAAAAGTTGAGAAACTTTGAACAACTCTTGGGCCTCCCTTTTGCAAGCAAACTTCTCCTTACCCGGTCTCTTCATGATCTTGCAGGAATCACTTGCACCTTCAACTTGATTATTGCGGGAAACAACATGGGAAACCATATTGAACAACTCTATCTTGGTGCTCGAAGGTGGAGCGGTATGAGGTGTAACCGACTCACAATCCATCTTGACATCATCCCACTTGAAATATTTGTGAAAATTTGGGAATGGAGTCATCTTGTAGCTTATTTCCTCCTCACCATACCTTAATGTGATCTAGCGGATACCATAGCCACTTCCTCCATTTTTCTCTTTCCCGATAATATTTCCTTGAAGAATTTAATGTATTTTTGGATAGTCATTACCATATCTAGGAAAGGGACTGTTACCTTCAATTGTTTCAAGGTATCCTTCCACGGAGCACATTCATGATAGAGATCACTTTCAAATATACTTTTAGGATAAGGAACCTTCGGTGTTGGCTCGGATACTTGATTCTTCTTAGACTTATCTTCATCTTCGATCTTGATTACAATGGAAGGTTGAACTTCCTCCCGAACCATCTCTTCTTCTTGAACGGATTCACTTTAAACTTCTCTTACCGGGATCATCGGAGTCGAGATTGTAATCTCCTTCAAGGGTCGGCCACTCCTAAGGTCGGCCCTGAAGGAAGCATCAGTCTCCATATCCCCAGATTGTTTGAAAGATAACTGACATTATTAAGTATTGCGAAAGAAAGGGTTTGCTGACAGAGTTGGGGGGCGCATGACAACCTTTCTTTGGATTAGGCTCGGTATTACCCGGTAGAGTTCCTTGAGTTCTAAATGATAGAGTTTGTGCCAACGAGCTTAGTTGGGCTTCAAGATTTTGAAGTGAAGCTTGTTGATTCCTTTGTCCAGCTTCCAAACTCGAGAATATGGTTGAGGTAGTCTTGAAGAACTTGTTAATAGCTTCAAACTTCTTGTTGGAGTGTGCAACAAATTCCTCCATCAAATCTTCAAATTTAGAGACTCAACCTTCGGAGGCTCGACTTTGTTCTTGATATGCTCCATGATATGATGGCTGGCTTGGTCTTTGATAAGTATTTTGTGATCGGGCTTGAGTTTGAAAACCCGGACTTTCCTATCCGTTGGAGAAGACCAAAGAAAATTAGGTTGATTCCTCCAACTCGGATTATATGTTGAGCTATAAGGGTTGTTCCCTCGAGATCGACGTCCAACAAAGTTGGCTTGATCAAATTGAAGTGAAGCCTCAATCATAGACTTACACTCTTCCATGGTATGAGTTGAGTCGCCCACCAATCATATTTCATAAGTTGTTTCCCATTGCCTTTCATCATTGATGCAACTTGATCAATTTTCTTGGAGAGTTCTTGAATATGGGCCCATAATGATTAATGTTCTTCGACATTCATTAAACTACCCTTTGAATAGCTCTTTCCTCTTCTTCCATCACCCAAATCATAGCTATTGAGGGACATTTCTTCAGTCAATTGTTGAAGTTATCTGGCTTCTTTGTTCCTAATGACACCTCCACTAGACGCATCAATAAATCTTCGTGACTCTTTTGTCAACCCATTAAAAAAAACTTTCCTCTTGTAACCAATCGGCAATGCCATGATGAAGACACTTAAGTAAGAGGGATGTTAATCTTTTCCATTCTTCAAAGCCAAAGAAAAAAAATGATCAAGCTAGTCAAGGATTCCAAGGAATCCTGTCACAAATGAAGGAATGGACGATTGGGCACGTGAAATGTGATGATAACAACCACACCGATGCCCTATTAAAATTGGTTACGACGATCGATTTTTAAGGAGTGTGGTTGGTGACCGTTACTGAAGAAACCTCACAGATAGAGATTGTCATGGAGATTATCCAGCAAGACAGGTGGGAAGCATTAATCCGCTTCTTTAGAATGAAGGCAGATCGCTTCTCCCTCATATATGGGAGTTTATACAAGAGGTCGTCCACCAGAGCATATATACCTGAGGTGCCTTTGAAGGGAGGAGGCGCACAAACACTTAGGGAAATCCACCAGGGAACGTGTGCCACCCATGTCGGGCTCTGGAGTTTGGAAATGAGCATACTCCTATAAGGATACTACTGGCCTCCGGTTAAGGTGGACACATTGGCATGGTGCGCACATGCCATGCGTGCTAGGTACTCACGGACAAACATCACAGTTCGTCCTAAGAGATGTGGGGCATCATTAGCCTCAGGCCATTTGCTAGGTGGGCCCTCGATTTGATGGGGTCGTTCCCCATTGCGCCTTAGGGAAAAAATTACCTAGTGGTGGCAATCAACTACTTCACCAAGTGCATCAAGGAGTAACCTCTGCAAATCATAACAAGCGCTCGAGTGAGAAAATTTATCTTCAACAACATCATGATCCGCTTCGGGACCCCGAACACCATCATCATGCATCACATGAAGCAATTCAACTGTATGTCGTTCAAAAAGTTTTGCGCTAAGCACAAGATAACCTATAGCATGGTATCCGTGGCTTTCCTGTAAGCAAATGGCCAAGTCGAGTCATCGAATAAGTTGATCCTCATGGGATTGAAGATAAGATTGGGAGAAGCTAAGGGAGCATGGACCGCAGAGCTGCCGTGCATCTTCTGGACGCATAGAAACACATTCAAAACGACAACTAAAGAAACCACGTTCACCCTCACCTACGGATGCAAAGCGGTCATCTCGTCGAAGCCAACCTGGATACACTCTGAATTCGCATGTACGAAGTCGAAACAAACCACTCTAACTTACTTCACCACGTACGCTCTGAATTCGCACGTACGAAGTCGAAGCCAACATGCATGATATCAGAAAGGAAAAATGGCAAGGGCTTACAACAACAAGGATAATAACGGAAAGCTAGCCGCTAACTGGGAAGGGCCTTATCTGATTAGCGATTAGATTGGGTCCATCACATACAAATTGGTGACTATGAGTGGAGCGCTCGTGAGAAAATCCTAGAATTCATTGCACTTATGCAAGTACTTTCAAGTGTAGTAGTAATAGATTTTTTCCCAAACCGTGATTAATATAAGCAACACTTTTTCAAACGCACGCCTCTAAAATCCAATCTACGCACCAGAGTCACAGACAAGCTTCCTAGGACTCGGATTGCTCATAACATGTCACCCCAAAGGCAGAGTAATCCACTTGAGGAATGTCTTGCAACGCAGGTTCTCTCTCATAAAATGCCGCCCCCATGGCAAAGCGAGGCTGACACGCTTCTCGGTAAGAAATTCCTCATTACATGCCACCCCGTAGGCAGAGCAATCCGCTCGAGGAATTTCTCACTGCAGTTTCTCACTCGCAAACTGCCACCCCAGCGGGGAGAGTGAAACTGACACACTTCCCGGACTTTCTTATAGCTTTCACAAACAATAACAAGCGCCAAGAAAAAATATGTCCGAAATTACCACGTAACAGTAATGGTTAACCAAGCATATTGTTTTAAGTCATTACAAAAAAGGGCATCACCACCCGCACCCGCAACAAAGTGGGTCAAAATATACTTAAGGAAAAACAGCAAGTCTGTTTTCATGCATCCTGAGGACGCGAGGTACCGCCGTCCTCTTGCTACTCGAGTGTAGCCAGTCCCTCCTATGAGTTGACGTCACTTTGTGACTTGCCCAATCTCTCAACCGCGTCCCAAACTACATCAGTGTCCCACTCAAGATCGGGGTGCTCTCAACGGAATAGATTGCAGATCGATGCAATAGTGTTAGCCATCGCCTTCGATCGCTTGGCATTGTCACTCTGGTGGAAGGCGGGAGACAGGATATAATCCATCACCGCTGACTTTACGGCCGTTGTAACCTCGGTTTGATGCCTATAAGTCATTTCCACCTTCTCTGCCTCAAGCTCCTCAACTCGTTTGCGGAACTTGGAAAACTAACGGGTCCGGATTGCTAGTGTATTCGACAGGCAAAATCAATTTTTCCGACTGCTCCTTCAACATGTGCCTCGCGCAATCCTCGCAGAGGAAGGAGTACAGCGAGTTAGCGAAGGTCTACGTCAATGCCGTCAGGTTGGTTCTCGCTCGGTCCGGGCTCAACAACGATTTTTTCGCTGGGCGGAGAACTTGCTCAACGTCCTGCCAGGATTATAGGACACGCTTCCTAGTATCCCTTTGTTTCCTCAGTGGCTCCGCATCATGATTCACTTTCAATAAGCATTTGGCATCTCGAGCCATAGTAGATTGTCCCGGAGTAGGAGCCTTCGGAGCGAAAGTATTTGCTGATACAACTGCCTTGGAACTACGTGCTTTGGCCCCCTTGGAGGGTGCGTCATCGAAGCCACAATCCCATGGTGCATGGCTGTCAAATTAGAAAGGAGAAACAAAGGTCAAATGACCAATAGACAAAAAAAAAAAAAAAAGACGGAGTGTACAATAAAAACGCTAATGACCATCTCCGAGGATCTCGGTCAATATGGCTCCCACAGAGTCAGGTCCACCCCTCTCTCATCGATAGAGGACCGCTCGGCAACCCTCAAAACGTGGTACTTCTGTGGCTCCAAAGTACACATCTTAGCGTTCCAATTTTTCCGCATCTCGAAGTAGTATCACTTCTTCGGCTCCACATTCCAGAATACCACTTAGTGGTAGGATAGTTGTAGAAAAATTCTTTATACCAAGGGAAGTCGTGTGTGGGAGAGCCTTGCAAGAAGCCATATTTTTTGTCACGCTTCCTAATCTAACCTCAACAAAGTCCCCCCAAATTATCTACGACGGCGGATCCGGCGCCCCAAATCCCTACAAGCTCTACAGGCAAACCCAATGTAGTCTCAGTTAACTCTAATTCGCCGTCCCTGGAGCAACCCATGAAAAAGCTAACCGTCCTCTTATCAAGACCCGCTGAAGTTAGTTCCAACTCCGTCAAAATCCCATTAATTATCTCAAATATTAAGAGGTGAGAGGTAATTTAGATTGAGCATAACTTGAGCGGCATCAATGACGGAATCCATGAGTGTGTCAGATGAATCAGCGACGACGGAAGGATGCAGCGGCAAACGGACCTTAGTTGTTCTTCATCTCCCTTTATTTATTTCCATCTTTGACTTCTTTGTGCAATCCTAATTAGTATATTATATTTATATGTATGCTTATCCGTAAATATAAACGGTTATTTATACAATTCACCGACGACGAGCATATAACAAATAATAATTGAACCATGAACCACTCTTTTTTTTTTTTTAATTCAATGTTACATTCCATTCAAAAACATACTTTTTTCTACTTAATACTAGGTTGCTGTAAAATGAGTTTCACTTTGTATTTCCTTAGTTTCTCTCTACAGATTTTTCTTCTCACTTGGTCTAAAACTTCCAACAAACATACATGAAATTTTAGTATGCACAAGAACCCAAGTTAACCATCGCACACAAAGTGTGATCCCAAGTTCCCAACCTAGTTTATATCAGTCAGGGAGCTTTCTATTACCAAAATTTTCCTATGAATAAACTATTGAGCATGGAAAACATTCTTCAAACACTTGATTTCTCATAATTAAATTATATATGTTTCCTATAGTGACATTATGGCATTATAATAATTAATATCTAGCAACGCCACTCTTCATCAGTCAGAGAAATATGAAAGAAGTTGTATAATAGTTACACATCTATTTTCACTAATTAAGAGGACCATAATGGATTATATAATTGATTGATATCAAAGACAAGTCGTTTTCAGTTTCTACTAGCCAATTAAGCAGTGACACTATAGTATTATTTCGTGCATGTGCGTGGTTGGAAACAACTAGTTAGGCTATGTGAAAAAGGATCCCACGTTAAGCTAGAAATACTATATTTCACCGCTTTAATAAACGAGGGTGGGTTAGATGCATTTGCGTATGAGATATTTTGAAGTTGTTTATGTGATTGATATTTCTAAATTATTGTTTAGTTACACCAAAAAAAAAAAAATCATATAATGTGTTTTCAAAAAGTAGCAGGTGGATGGATCGTGCGAGACTCGTTTGTTGGATGCTTACCTCATGAAAGTGGAAAGTTGTTTCATACACATGCCCGTCAAACTATTATATTCAGCTAGCTTTTACTCTTCCCTTAGTCGAATGAGTATTACTTTATCATTTATATTATTAATTTATAATTATATTTAAAATATTGAGTAAAAGCCTGGCGCCGTTGGTGGCGGTAGGTCCTGGGCTTTACTTTTTCCTGTCTTAGAGGTGGTTCGATTGAATTTCTATGAGCCGGAATTTGTCAATGGTTCGCTTTGGATCCCCAAATCGGCTTTACGTTTCCGGGCTAACTGGATATGGAGTCGAGATGGGGAGGTGAAGGTTTCGCTCTTAGAAGATAAGCTGGTTCTCTTTCAATTTCCATCGGAGGCGACCTGTCGATGGGTGTTTGAAGGGGGGCCGTGGCACTATCGGGAGAAGATCATTTGCCCTCGACGCTGGGTCCCTGGGATTCAAGCGCTGGAGATTGACAATTCAGCTGTTTCGGTTTGGGCCAAGTTATCTGGGTTACCTGCTGAATTGTCGATGAGAGAAGGATTGGGTCGAATCGCGAGTTATATTGGTAAGCCTCTCTGTATGGATCATTATACTGCACACCGGGAGAGGGTTGGTAATGTTCGTATTTGTATGGAAGTAAGTGCTGCTAAACCTAGGATTGACAAAATCAGTATTGCTCCTGATGATATGGCTGAGTTTATCATTGTTATTGAGTATTGTGGGTTACCTCGGTGTTGTGGTGCCTTTGGGGTTTTTGGGCATGACGGCTCTCTGCCCCCTCCTAGATCTCTTGCTAAAAGATTCTGGCGACGCAAGCGATCCAAAGTTCTTGTATTGGGGCAACTTGAGGTTGTGGGTACTAAGGAGTTAGAATAGACTGAGGCTGAGGGCGCTACTAAAAAGGAGGTTATTCATGACATAGTGGAGGAAGCTATTGTTGATAAAGGAAAGAAGGTCATGGAGGATACTACTCCTCTTGTTACCCCGAGTGCTTTACCTTCTCAGGAGGAGTTTAATAAGGTGATTAATGGAGCAAAGCCAAAATCTGCTCTAAAGGTACCTACTCCTATTTTGCGTTCTAATGCGTTGAACTGTTACGTGGCCAACGAGACATTATCTTACAAGCTCCTCCAGGGATGACCTCGATCAGCTGATCCAGCTGACCGAAAGCGCCCTCTCTTTTTGCGGAAGGATTATGACGATTTGTGACAGAGCTACTGCGCCGGCGCTGTCAACAACCAGGTTGTCATCGTCAGTGTTGCATGGAGATGTTCCTACCACCGTTGTTTCCGTCGCACCGTTCCATGGTGCTACCATCCCGATAGTTGATGTCAAGGTCACCACGTGTTGGAGCAAGGGAATTCGGGAGAAGGGTATCACCGTTTTAAAAAGCGAGGCAACCCTCTCATGCCACAAGCTGGAGGAAGGGCTCACTACAACATTGGTGAGTCATGGTTCTGCTGTTGCAACGACAAACGATGATGAAACGGCCATTCGCCTCAAAGGGGGGATGCGTTTCTATCGTAGGAGAAAGAGGAAGAAACGACGGGAACCCATTGTTGTAGCTGTTATCGAAGCCACCATCGAGTTGTTGCCGCCGCCGCCGCGGATGGAAGACCTATCCAAGTCAGTGGAGGCCAATGCTGAAAGTACGAGGAGTCTTCAGGCGGGACAAGTGGGTTGCCGTATTGGTCAGAAGGGATTGGGAGATAAAGTCGATGGTCTTGAAAATGCTGTTCAGGGACTCGGACAAGGCATGGTAGAGACGTTCGACTCTAACCAAGCCACTGATTGGCTTGACATCACATATGAGTGGTTGGAGCTACAGTGGACCGCGTCGGATGTTCCCCTTGGTGATGAGATAAATACTTGCGCTGCTAGCAACAATAAAGGTACTGCCATCGTTGGGACTTACTCTCTGACAATCCGTTTGCGAGAGGTAGCTGGAGGAGGATCAAACTTGAGGCGAGTGTTTCACAAACCGGTGGCTAGCAGCTCTATTCAAGGTTGTATTGGACTCGGTATGGGAGGATTAGTCAGGGTTGCTATACGGCATCGATCCGGCGATTTTTGAAATTGAAAGTGTTGTGGATTCGGGCTCGAGACGGGAGGTCGTGAACTTTAAGGAAGAACAACCTGTGGGATTGCCTAACTATGGATCAACTGGGATGCCGGGGCTCTCAACTTTTGGACAAGTTATGTGTGACTTTTCCAGAGCGAGAGTAACAAGTGCTACAGGAGTGCCGATAGCTCGTCTCATGGGATACAATTACGAAGCTATGAAATTTCAAAGTTGAACTAAAATTGGTGATGGCTTTCGTAAAGAGGGGTTTACAAGATTGGGCATTCTTGGTGACTTGGGAAGCATTTTGGCTAATGAAGAGAGGGAATAGGAAGAGAGTATGAGAGAAGGTAAAGAAGAAGGAAGTTTTCTTGTTTCTACAAAGGAAGAGGGAACGATGAAGGGAAAGAAGAGTGGCGCTTTTCTTGTCTCTAGGAAAGGAGAGAGAACAAGAGCAGGAAAAGGAGTAAAGGACACATTGATTTTGATTAGAATTTAGAACTTGTGGGTGCCTGCGTGGGAAAAAATTTTAGAGGGGAAAATGTGGTTGGAAATTTTCGGGTGGGAAATTTTTAGGGAAAAAGATTGGTGGGAATTTTTTGTTTCGCTTTCTAGTGGCAAATCTTTGAATGAAATGAATTTTGGTGCCAAATGAAATCCTAGAGCCAAAATTTATTTTGGCTCTAATATTTGAGAGAAATTTATTTTGTCAAATTCTATATCATCAGTCATCTAACTAACCTCTTATCCTTTTATTTAGTTTCAAGTTCGTGATTTGATGATCTGTTTCGTCTTTACTCTCCATATCTCTAACGGCACCGCATGTATTCCTTTCTTCCACGAAGAAGCGGTTCATCGTCTTTGAGCCAAACCTGTTGATTTGGCTATACCTTGTTTCATTTTACTTTGTTTATAAAGAGAAAAATCTCTCAAATATGTGTATATATAAAATAAAATTTGTGAACTTTGATTTTTGATGCTTTGAAGTTTGAGATACAATTTTTGGGTTTTGAAAGTTTGTAGTTTCTGTAAAATAATTGTGAAACAAAAATATCATTCCCACTTTCGCTCTCGTTGTAGGAAATTTGAAGTGAGACAAGAATTTTTTCATTTCACTATTATATATTAAGTAGAGTGTATATAAAGACATGTCATTTCCCTACAAATTTACTAGCCCATTAAAAAAAGGAGATATGAACCAACTTATTAAACTTCTAATGATTGTTGGATCCAATCATGTTAGAATAGGATGTTTAAAATTCGACTGTTAGCTGAACTAAAATTTTCAAAGAACCAGTCCCATATAGTTTACACAAATATATGAATATGATTGTGTCATAGTAGCTAGTAGGTCTAAAAATTAATACCAGTTTAATAATTATACATCTCTTTTTCATATTCAGTACTGCAATGCGATATGGAATATTTGAAGCACTAATATTTGGGTCTTGATCTTTAAAGTTAGCCTCTATTTATAAGATATATAGAAATTTAATTAAGTGTTAAAAAAGAATTAAAATGTGGAATTTGGCCTCTGTTACTCACAGAAAGTTTCAACTCAAATGCATGTTTCTCTAATAAATTTTGCTTCTTATTTGTATGCGACGAGGTCGAATGGCTCTATGACTATGCAGCTGGAGAAAAAAGAAATTTACTATTGTTGGATTATGATGGCTTTTGAGATGGTTGGGTCTTGTATTGTACGCTCTCGAATCCAAAGCAAGAAGAATAGACAATGGGATAGTCGAACATGGTATGTGATGTTTCATGTTGTAGGGTTCTGTGATTAGTAAGAGGATGATATAACAACGTAGCTACGTATACGAATTGTTCAAAACAACATCATTCTGAAGTGGTCGGGTGCTTGAAAGTTGGTTGAATCGGTCGAATTTCCCTATGAGATAGACAAACTCGACTTTGACCGAGCCTGAGTAGACAACCAACTGGGCCTTCGGCACCCGCAGAGATACTCAGGTTTAGATAGAATTGGTTCGACCAGTAGAGTCATACTCTAATTGACAATCATGGACATGGTTATGAGTTATGACTCTTGACTTTGTTTGGATACATTAGTTCAAATCCCAATAATTGTCTATTTTCTATACAAAATAAAGATAAATAATGGCGAAAACAAAAATGTCATATATACTTTTGCTCTCATTGTATGAAATTTAAAATGGGACGACTATTTTATCATGCCAGTAATATATATTGTGTAGAGTGCATATGTAGTCATGTCCTTGCTCTACAAATTCATTTTAATACATAAAAAAGATGAAATAAACCAACCTATTAAAATCAACCTCGTCTAATTGTTGTTGGATCCAATCATGCCTGTCGAATTAGGAAGATATTTAAACTTAACGGTTAGTCGAGCTAAAATGTTCAAAGAACCTGACTCCATATAGCTTGCAGAAAGATATGAATATGATTGCCTCATAGTAGTTCTATAAACTAATACTAATGTAAGAGTTCAACATCGCTTCTACAAATTCGATATTGCAATTTGATATGTAATATTGAACCAATGATATGTGTTCTATGATTTTAAAGTTATCCTATATTTATAAGATAAATAGAAATTTATATTAAGTATCAAAGTATAATTAATATAATTAAATAAGAAAATCAAAGTATCAAAACAGCAATAAGTACCGAGCGAAGATTTAGTGACATTAGCTAACCGTTGAAAAGTTTTAATGATTTTTTAATTTTAGCTTCATGTATGTTTGAAATTTAAAAAGATACAACTAATTATGTAGTTTGATTGTTTAAGATTGTTGTCATTGTTGAAAATGATCACGATTCAAATCCTAGTATGTGTTTCTTATGTAGGAATAAATGAGTAACAAATTGATCATTGTAAGGACAAAAATAGTCTTCCTACTTTCACTCTCGTTACAGGAAAATTTGAATGGGGCGGAAGTTACAATATCCAGCTATATATATGATGATATAACATATGATCGCAACTAATTAATGGATTACCCTAAGCTCTAGAACTCCAATTTTGAATTCTATCCCTAAACCCTAAATTGTAAACCCTAACCCTAAATCTCTGAACTCTAAATCCTTCAAATTAAAATAAATCTTGAATGGTTTTTGTGCGAATTCATGTGCTTTATTGATTATCAGATCATGAGTGATGATTGACATCATTTTGACATGAATCACATGTTTAAAATGACAGTTATGAAGCAAGTGCACTGGATGCACCCAAAAAAGTGAGTGCACAGAAAACGCCACTATATATATATAGTTATGTCTTCGGTGCACTCACTTTTTTGGGTGCATTGATCATAATCGTAATTCTGAGTAGGTAATTCATGTGAAAACGATGTCAATCTTCACTTGTGGTATGATGAACAAGAACCACATGAATTTGTACAAAAATCACTCAAGATTCACTTTAATTTCAATTATTTAGGGTTTAGAATTTTACGGTTAGGGTTAGGGTTTACAATTTTAGACTTTGGATTGGGGTAATTGATTGATTAGTTGTAATTTTTGTTATATCATTAAATTAAACTAATGCTACCCATTAAAATTCAAAATTTTGTGTATTATGACCACTTTTAGAGTTGCACCCAAAAAAGTGAGTGCACCGAAATAGCTATATATATATATATATGGCGAGTTCTATGGTACCCTGGGTGAAATCCGGGGTACCGCATACCTTGAGTATGAAAACACTATCTAGACCTTGAATTGACCGATCTTTCGGACATGATACTATACTCTAACACTTAAAGATCAAAATCTAGGTGTTAACTCTCCTAATCTTATACTCCAAGATCAATTTAATTAGAAATAATAATCGACAGTTATGATTCATCCAAATATAGGCACAAAGAGGAATGCACCATCTTAGGGTTTATAGATTATGATTTAGATAATTATGACCTAGGGTTCACTCATTAAGGGTTAGGGTATAATATCAGACACAAAAATCCTGGTAATTCGAGGTCTAGATAGAGTTTCCATACTCGAGGTATGCGGTACCCCGGGTGAAATCCGGGGTACCATAAAAGCCACCATATATATAACTATGAGATATCTCACTGTGAGTACATGGAGCACATGGAGCATAGTATGCTCAAAGAGCACACAAGTCTAACCCATATATGGTATATATATTTATATTTGTAGATGACAATGTGACATGGCAATGTAAATGCAATTGCATTTTTAATTGCATGGATAGAAGTCAATTGCAACAATGCAAGTGATCATTTTTTGCAATTTCACGTACGCATTTATGGATTTTGATTTTATTTTATGCATGGATAAAATAATAAATATATACATCTTTTATTTTCTTAAAATATAAAGTTGTGCCCACATATAAAATTGCAAGTTAATTTCATTGATGTAGGCAAATGAAAGTAATGTGAGTTGGATTGTAAAGAAATTGAGGTGGCACTAAAGAGCATAAATTCCATTACTTTTACAATTGCATTGATGTAGATGCTCGCTCAAACTATGGGTGACATTGATGATATGAAGATAGCATGAACATTGGACCTAAATAGGTGAAACTGCAGCTCGACTCTTCCACTACATTGCCTTGCTTCTTCGATATGATGACCCGACCCAACAACACACGTCTTTGGTTCTTCAATTTCGAGTCCTCCTTCTCTCAGATTGGACTATTTGTTTTAGGTCGATGATATGGTGTATTCGTGATTATACGCACTTTCATAACTAGATTTGGACCCTTAGATGTGAGCGGGTCTAGAAAAGTCTAGATATAACTAGTTAGAACTAGTGTTTTTTTTCCACTAATTTTCTTGATTAGTTATTATCTTCTTCAAAATTGCCCTCGGCTATCTACTACACTAAAAAAAAAGAATGTGGGGAGATGCTCTCGCCTCTCTCCTAGAGTTCTTCCATTTTGTCGAGCTCCGCCTCTTTTCCTTCTTTGAGGGTTTGCTGTAGGCCGCCGTAGCTAATCGGGATCAACAAAGGGATCACAAATCTACCTTAGCCCGTTACGCACACAGCCTCTACCC